TGCAGTGTGCCAATTCCCGATCCCAATTTCGCCGCAAATCCGCGCAAACGACCGCCCTTAAGAGCCACTAGGCAATGTACTGTATCAATACTAATGAGTAGCAGCTGAGGCATGCTAACCTTGATACTTCCAGCTAAAAAAATAAAATCGTGAAAAAAAAAAACAAGAACGATCGTGTGATCCACTGAAATGTGTGCCTATGGAAAACAAAATGTGCTTCACTGCAACGCAGCCGGGATGCATGAATAGTATATTGCATTCATCTCAATACGGCAGCGCGTCATGATTTACCCATTCTTTCTGGGAATATAAACAAAGTAGTAAAGGACAGTCCGACGAAATTCGCGACGTATGTGAACCTCCGAGTGTTGGTTGCTCCAGCAATTTTCCCACTTGCACTGCTGGCGGAGTTCTTGCCTGCAACACCTACTTCAAAAACTCTGTTCGAAAGCTTCAATGATCATGTTTTCCAGCAAAAACACATCGCAAATTTCGTCACATTGGCCATTATTAAATTCTTCATTTTACTAGAAATAATGGGCAAATGGTCACATCATGACCTGCTGACGCTGTAGAAAATTGAGCCTCCCGTTGCGCAGAAAATGGGTTTATTTGGAATAAACCGCAGCCTGATTCCGTAGGTTGCTGCTGCAGCGTGTGATCTGAAGGCCTGAACTATTCGTCAATCTTTTTTCCAGTAAAGACTGAATATACAGCAGTAAATACTGAATCCTCACCTTCTGTTTCTGGGTGTCCTGTCCTTGCTAGTGCGTGTGCTCCGTACGCTGGCGTGCGATGTTCTTGTTGAAGTCGAGGACGAAGTCGTGAGGAAGCGACTTTAGCAGGATTGGGTAGAACATCGCGAAGTAATCATCCTCCGGTATTTCAAAAGTCTTGAGGGCACGAGTCTGGGTTTGGAGCGTGCCATAAAGGCATCAACTCTTCAAAGATCAGTCACGTGTCGAGTCATTGCATGTGAGCCCGAATGATGACGTAGGTCTTGGCGAAGCGCTGTTTCAAAATTTCTAGGGCTTCTGAATAGCAGCTTACCGTTGGTCGAAGTCCGCCGATAACCGATACCGCAGTCACCGGTCAGAACTGAACGTAGTAAGGCCAACTGGTCTACATTGATGAGCCCATCGTTGTTGTGGATCAGTTGACTGAACTGTTCCTGAAAGGGCATCCACATTGAAGGTTGGCCATCGAACTTCATGAGGTCGATTTTTGGAAGTTAGATGGTGGGCTGGGGCATGCGTGACATGGGTTCAGTAGGTGCTGCGGGTGGTAGTGCACAGTTTCGCGAATCTTGAAGTTGGCTTAGCCTGCACTTCAGCTTCGCTGACGTGGTTGTGGCTCGATCGCTGTATTCCACAACCTGGTCAAACTCTGCCTCCGCTTCTGTGGTTGATAGCAGAGGGACAATGTTGAAGTCGGTGGCCCTCATCTTGGCGTGCAGCTGGTTGACGCGTTTGTTGAGGATGCACAGCTCCTCTTCCGTGGCGTTTTCTTGAGTGAGCGTTGCCTCTGCCTCGTTGATAATGCATGTCAACTGAACTCTCTCAGATTTGCGCTTCAGTTTGAGAGCTTTCATGTAGTGTTGAAGCGTTTAGCAGCTGTAAGTCGGTCGGTCGAATCTGTAAGCGGGAAGCCGATTACCTTGGCTTCATCGACGTGGTTCGCTGTCCCGAGTTTCAGCACCACGTGAAAAAAATCTAGCTTCCCATTGCGTAGAAGAAGGGGTTTATTTACAATAAACCGCAGCCCAACTCCAGTGCGTGAACTCAAAAGCCAGAACACTTCGTCGTCTTCGTCTTTGATCTCTTTCCAACAGACGCAGTGAGAGGCAGGCGACATTCTGCCCGCGGGTCATTGCTGTGTTGCAGTGAAGATGTTTTTCACAGGCGCGCATTTCAATTGAATCATGTAGGTCTTTTTTTTTTGTTTTACTGCAATAGCAATTATATGTACACTGTCAGCTGGATTTTGCTGTCGGCATCATCAAAGTTTTTAAAAACTTAAGCATTTTCTAACCACTAAGATTGGTCTAGTAAAGAGCAACTCTTTTAGGACCACACTTCCAGAGCACATTAAGCGATCCACAGATGTTCTGGCGCTTTATTTCCAACAGCAATGATTGCATAAAAGAAATTAAACTTGACGGACAACTAGCGGCTGATGAGGCGACAATATCTAAGTGCTTTAATGAATATTTTCGGAGCATATTTAATAATGATAGTGGCCCTACAGCAAGCAGCCTCTGTGCCAAATTCTTCTGTTTTGAGGAGTTCCTGAGGGGTTGGTCTAAGGTGTACTGAAAATGTTGCATAATCTCAACATTTAAAAAAGTGCTGGACAAGTTGGTCTTTCTCATGTATTTTTAAAGCATTATACAGATCAGATTTCCCAATGCATAAGGAGAATATTGTAAGAGTCATTAAAATCTGGGGATGTACCAGGTGATTGGCACAACGCAAGAGTTGTGTCTATCCACTAAAAAGGTGACAAATACATGGTAGGAAACTATCGACCAGTGTCTATTACATCATGCAAGTTTCTTGAGCACATTGTAGCTGGTGAAATTCTTGCATTTATGCCAGAAAATAATATTCTGTCTCAGCATCCAAATGATTTTAGGTGAGATATGTCCACTGTTACTCAGCTCGTACCTACAGTCCATCAATTTGCAGGACTATTAGATAGATCCGGACAAGTAGATGTGCTGCTACTAGACTCTGTAAAGCATTTGAGAAAGTGTCACATGAGAAGTTGCTTTGTAAACTAAGTATTATTGGGCTTCCTCTATCTTATTAACTGGATTAATGCACATCTGTGAAACAGATCACAATTCGTAGACATAAATGGCTGTTTATGCTGTTTATCATCCACTTCTGTCTGGAGTATCACTTGGTCCATCACTATTCTTTATTTTTATGACATTACAGAAATACTACCCAAATCAGTTAGCATAAGGTTATTTACAGATGATTGTTTCATATTCGAAGAAGTGAATTCAACTACAGACCATGACATTCTTCAAAAATGGCTATAGAAAATAGATCAATCGTGCCGGGACTCTAAAATGCAATTAAATGCTTCAAGGTCGGCTCTCCTCCGAAATCATGAAAACAGCAAACAAGCATCATGAAAATAGCAACCAATGATTCTACAGGTTATGCAATATCGATATCTAGGCATCACACTGACCAAATATTTAACATGGACAGCTCATATAACCGATATCAGTTCTTCAACATTTCGAAAGTGATGTGTTCTAAGACGTAAATTTAAAGACACAGCTTCTAAAATTAACATTAGGCATATTCTACAATAATAAGGCCAAAGCTCGAATACACTTGTGTGCTTTGGGACCAACATGCAAAAATGACATGCACCAGCTTGAGAGTATTCAAAGGCAAGCGGTTCGTTTTATTAATGGAAAGTATAGAAGACACGAGGCAATCTCAGAGCTAATGCAGAATAAAAAGATTATGCCCTTGAAAAAACGTTGAAAGATAGCCCATCTATCTTTTCTGCATAACATGGTGAACAAAAGAGTAAATATAAAGCGGCCTTTTTTTCTAGCGCAGCTGACGTCAAAAAGAACGCATCACACATTGACCCATACTTTGAAGGCTATATTTGCTCGTACAGTTGCTTTCAGCAACAGTTTTTTTCAAGAACAATATCAGAATGGAAAAAGCGCCCAGAGTTAGTCATTTAGGTACAAGATTTCCCTCACTGTCTGGAAGAATATTTGTCGGCGAATCTGATACCAGTGTTTTGTTTTCTGATGTTTTCGTTGCAGTATTGGCTTTTCGCACAACTTATAACTTACATGTGATAGCATTATTTTTGTGCTGCTTATGCAAGTAATTGTTAGTTTGTGAACTAAACCTATTTATGAATGAGTACATTTTAGATACACTTGTTCACGTTATTGTTCTTCTGTATACCCTTCCTCCTTTGGGCCGGCAACCTTGGCTTGCAGTATGATGAAATAAATACTGATCATCTGCATTTGGTGTTTGATAGACATAATAGAATGACAGGCTACATATAATGACACTCATAAACAAACTTCCATAGTTACCAATCTGATCTAGCTCTCTTACATCAACACTTGCAACAACAGTAACACCACCACCTCAGGAGCACCTATCTTTCCTAAACAGCTGGTAGCTTGGCAAAACAATTTCATCATCACGCACCCTGTTACACAACCGAGTTTGACAGGCAACGCACACATACAGACTGTACTGTAACTTTTACTATAACCAGTAAAATTTCATGCAGCTTCTCTGTTTTCTTTACAATATTTTGGGCATTTAATGACAACAGTTGAAACTGTGGCTGCTATTCTGTACTTTTCGTCCACATTTCAGCATTCTCTTCCCCACCCCACCCTCCACCCCCTGTTCTGTACAACATCTCACCTAATGATACAGAGCATCGTCAGTGCAAATCTTATCATGAACGAGTTTGGCTTTTTTATTACTGTCGTATTGTGTACTGCTCTACAAATATCAGCCCTTGCACAGTGTGTCTACCCACAATCATTTTGCAATGATATTCCTGTTCCCCTTGGTTTCTATGCATTCTTTAATAGTGCTTTTTCAGAATAAATCTGAAAGAATGTAATAACTGGTCTTCTTAAGGACGCTTTCCCAAGTCTGTGAATTCACGCAACAGATGTACAACTTATTCTTAATTCATCTTGAAAGACATTGCAAACAACCTTGTCCCGTAGTATCGCTTCAGTTTCATCAAGTTCTTCCAGAGTGCCAAAAACAATTTAATTTGAACAGAAGCTGCAGTTTTCCACAAGTTTTTCTTAATGAGCGGTAAGCAATTCTTGCACTGTACTTACAGCTGCATTTACTTTCTGCCTCGTGTTGATTGTTACGTGCGGAACAGTTTCGACAAGCACACCTGCCCGCACGCTACATAAACACTCATGATGTAGCAAATTACCAGGAATTTCACGAAACAGCAGAACTCACATCTCCTTCTTCCACATCTGGTTGAGCATAGTTATTCCACAGCCTCCTCGGTATCACAGACACTGGCACATCGTGGACCACAGTGCGAGACGTTGAGACTAGTGATGGCTGCGAGGGAAGTATACGTGAAACAATCTCGGGCTCTCGTCAAAAGTGAGCACTCCTTACCAGTTCGATTTCAAAACTTAAGCAAGGAGTTTGTCTTTTGGTCAGCTTGACTTTTAGCGACCTCGCAGCTGCTGCTGACTTGAGAGCTTTGACAATGTGATCAGCAACAATGTCGAGATATATCTCATTGAACTCTTCTGAAACACCTTGCATATTGTACTCCTGAAACAAAGTTTCCTGGAAAAAAGAAGATTTGCAGACACCGGTTTTTCCCCAATTGTCCTGAATCTCGAGCGGTGAAGAAAAAAAAGACACGTAAACACTGCAGCATAAGTATATGACATTAGCACCTGTGGTATGTCAGCCCACAGCCACCCACCGCCGCTCACAGCGTCTTCGTTTAGAATGAAATAGACGCAGTCCGCAGTGATGCGTAAGGTGACATCCTTGGCTAGTTTAGAAACGGTGTGCACGATTTCTGCAATGGAAAAAAAAAAGAAATGCGCCATGCCGGCATATCCCTGACAACAAAGCTGCAATGTTAGAGAACTGCATGTATTTGATAGACAGTTTGTTCACAAATAGATCATATAACTTACTTGACAACTGTTGAATGCAGACAACGTCGACTATTCGTCCGCGAAACTTCATATCTTATTTGACACTCGAGCAGCGGCGGGCAACATGCGTTGGTCGTGGATTGGCCGTAAGATGGCTAGATACGTGTTCTGTGACTAGGCCAAGCCGACGCCTCCTCTAAACAATGCCTGGGGAATGGCTCGCGCTCCCAGCGGAGTTGGCCTGCCTTCAGTTTTGAGCAAGCGCCGCGCGGTGGCGCTCGCGACCGAGACTAACTGCAAAATGGATTTGGGCCGGGTCGACGCTTGGAAGACAATCTTTTCGTCATAACCCAGACCATCGAAATTTCGGCAGCACAGGGCAGGCCAACATGGCTACTGTTTCTGGACATAAAGGGTGCCTATGACAACGTGGACAGGGGATTGCTGTGGCATATACTGGAAGAGGAGGGGATTGGGTCGGAATTTGTAGGGCTGCTAAGGGCAATATATGAGGGTAACAAGGCACACATTACATGGGAAGGGCGTACATACACAGAGCCCGTGTACATTCGAAGAGGTTTAAAACAGGGGTGCCCTCTTTCGCCATTGCTGTTCACACTGTACATTAGAGGAATGGAAAGACGACTAGAGGAGAGTGGATTGGGCTTTGATTTGTCACACCGAAGCAATGGAGTGTTAGTGGAGCAACGGATTCCGGGATTGATGTACGCAGACGATATAGTGCTGCTGGCGGATAATGCGGAAGAACTTCAAAAACTGGCTGACATTTGTGGTGATGAGGCAACGTACCTAGGTTTACATTTTAACCCACAGAAATCTGGAGTCATGGTGTTCAACGAGGAAGCTCATGTAGCACCAATAAGGATACAACAGGAAGCCATACCATTAGTAAATAAGTACAAATACTTGGGGATCTGGCTTAATGAAGGAAAAGGCTACCTGAATGCTCATGAAGAACACTTCAAACTGAAAGGGAGACGAAATGCAGCAGTAATGAAACATAGAGCACTTTGGGGACACAATAAGTACGAGGTAGTACGAGGCATCTGGAAAGGGGTAATGGTGCCGGCGCTCACGTTCTCTAATGCCGTATTATGCTTAAAGTCAGATATCCTGTCGGGGCTGGAGGTTAACCAAAAGGCAGTCGGCAGGTTAGCTCTGGGAGCTCACAGTAAGACTACAAACGAGGCTGTACAAGGCGATATGGGTTGGGCTTCATTTGAGGCGAGGGAAGCACAAAGTAAAATACGGTTTGAGGAGCGACTTAGACATTTAGATGAGAAGAACTGGGCAGCCAGGGTGCACAGATACCTGTACCTGAAAAGTGTGGACACCAAATGGCGGAGGAGGACGCGAAAGCTGGCGACTAAATATAACTTGACCGCGGCAAATAAGCAAAGGGGGCCAGTTAAAAAGCAAGTGAGGGAAACAGAGACGCTCATGTGGAAAGAGAGGATGGAAAAGAAGGGATCGCTGGGAATCTACAAGGCAAGCAAACAAGAGATCCGGAAAGAGAACTTTTATGACAACAATAAAGGTAGTGCGTTGCTCTTTGAGGCGCGGGCTGGCTGCTTGAGAACTCTAACTTACAGGAGCAAATATTCGTCACAGGATGAGACATGTGTTGGATGTGGCATAAATAAACAATCGACCACATAGTCATGGAATGTCAAAAGATTCAGCCGGATAGAAATGGGGGGAAGGTCACACTTTCTGAGGCGCTGGGCTTCGCGGTTGATGGAAGCATTAACTGGTCAGCAGTAGGTATTACTAAGCAGCGGCTGGAGTATTGGTGGAGGAAAAGCAGAGAAGTCGATAAAATAACATCCCAGCCAAGAGTAGCGGCTGGGCAAAATTAAAAAGACACCCGAGTTGAGGGACAGAATTTAAACTCGAACTATTAAGGTAGGCTAGATGGCGCATGCCGTCACCCCGATTCAAAGGGGAGGCCTTTAATCATCATCAACTGCAACGGTGGTGGTGGTGGTAGTGATTAGAATGAAGAGGAAAAAGGCACCTAATTTCTGTCTGCCTTCAGGCGACACGGCGCAGTGCCTTATAGGGGAGGGGGGAAGGAGGGATAAAAAGAATAGAAGGATAATAGACGAAGAAGAAGACAGCCAACGAGAGGAAAAAAGAAGGAGATAGGAAAGTGGGGATCCGGTCGAAGCAGTCCAAGGGCGGGGTGCCACAATGCGAGAGCTACACGGCGTCAGGAGACCGCGGAGGGCGAACCAGTCGGCGGGAGCTGCGCTGAAGTCGGAGATCGCGAGGGCACAACCGTCCAGCTTGACGAGGTGCCAGCGCGCCTGGTGAAGTGCCTCCGCCCACAGGCAAGGGAGAAGCTTGCAGACCAGCTGTCGAGCATCCTTTCTGGCGCTGAAATCCCGAAGGACTGGCGTCAGGGTCGGATAACATTGATCCTAAAGCAAGGCGGCGCGGCGGACCTGCTGCAGAGCTATCGCCCTATCACGGTCACTAGCGTGATGTACCGAATGTTTGCCGGTATCCTAAGGGAATGGCTAAGTGGCTGGGCTGAGACGAAGAACTTGCTGACGGAACTACAAAATGGGTTTCGTTCGGGTCGTAGATTGGAGGATAATATTTTCACTCTGACCCAGTGTGCCGAAATAGCGAAGCTTGAAGGGCGATCTCTGCTATGCTGTTTTCTGGTTGTACAGAAAGCATACGATAGTGTCCCGCAGGCAGCATTGTTTGATTGCATGAACCACTTGGGCCTTCCAGAGATCCTCATCTCGACCGTGAGACGAATGTACAGAGGTAACACTGTAGTGGCACACTTCGGGGATGTTCAGTCAGACCCCGTTGTAGTTGTGAAAGGCCTGCGTCAGGGCTGCCCACTCTCACAATTACTGTACATTCTTTACGTCTCAAGCCTCGAGAGGAAGCTTCTTAGTTCCAGCCTTGGTTTTCGGCTCCACCACACGACCAGCGGTATCGACGAGAGGCGTCGTCTACCGGGCTTAACGTTCGCAGACGACATCGTGCTCATGGCAGAAAACACCGAGGAAATACAGGCACTGCTGGACATCTGCCAGGATGAAATCACCCGCCTGGGGCTCTGCTTCAACGTTAAGAAGACAGCCCTTCTCAGACTTGTGGGGGAGTGCACCAAGGAGAGTGTTGTGACCCTGGGAGATGCCGAAGTGAGCAGCTGCCCCGAATACAGGTACCTGGGTGTAAAATTGTCAGCATCAACGGACATGTACAGCCTACATGAGGCGAAGACGCGTGAAGCTGGACTGCTGGCTCAGAGCATCCTCCGGCGCCGCTGTTTGTGGGGCTGCAACCGGTATTTAATGGTACGTGACCTTTGGAAACTCGTCCACGTGCCTGGGCTGACATTTGCGAACGCAGTCGTGGTTATGTCAGCGGCCACCCGGGAATGGTTGGAGTGGCGACAGCGGGAAGTAGGACGCATCGCTCTGGGCTGTCATGGCACGGTGGCGAACGAGGCGGTCCAGGGGGACATCGGCTGGTCGAGCTTCGAAGCGCGTGAGGCGGCCAGCAAACTGATGTTCCACTGCCGCCTGATGTATATGTCCCGCGAGAGGTGGTCTCGACGAGTTTTTGACTACCTCATGGCGACATGTATGCGCACCAAGTGGGTACGACGAGTGTACCAACTTGAGAAAAAGTTCGGGTTTTTCCAGGCGCCACTGACGGCCGAAAACCAACGGGGGCGCACTAAGGAAATTCGCCAACGTATTAAGGAGGCCGAGGAGGAGAAGTGGAAGCAGGCACAAGTGAACAAGTCAAGTCTCCTCCTCTACCGCCAGCACAAGGACACCATTGCTCCAGTCCCACTGTACGACAATGGCCTTGGAAGTGTGCTGTTGTTTGAGGCGAGAGCAGGGGCCCTGCGTACTCTCGTTCGTAAGCAAGCTTACCACGGTGAACTCGTGAGTGTGGTGTGTCGCGCGTGTGGTGGGGCTGACGAGACCATCGCACACATCGTGACTGAGTGCCTGCAACTGAGCCCATCCAGTTCGAACACAGATCTCGCTGCCGCACTGGGTTTTGTGGACACAGGTGATGTGGTGGACTACGCCGCAGTGAGGCGCAGCAAAACTCGCCTAGAACAATGGAGGAAAATAACTCTCCGGGGACTTCGGGAAGGTTCTTAACTCGGCAACCCGCCCAGTCTGTATTTTATTTTCTTATTTTCTTTGTATTTTTTACTATCGGCTAGGGTGCCAAAGTGTGCCCGCCCGCTACAAAGGGAATGACCTCATTACCATTATCATCATCATCATTATCACGGCAGCGGGCGGTACCAGCAGGAGCGTCGAGTCCGGCCGTGTACCAGCCAAGGAAGTTTTATGTATCCTCCTTGGTACCAGCTAAGCGTTCTTCATCTGCGGCCCATAGGGGCGCGTCAGTCGAGAGTTGTTCGAGATCTGCAACTGTGCACCATTGTTTCAAAGGCTATGCAAAGTGTTGCGTTGTTGCACCGTCCGCCACAAGTGACGCTAGCGACCGAGAACATTTTCAAATTAAAGGAGAGAAAGGGTGTGGCCGCTGTTTTTTTTCTCATGCGGCAGGCATCTTCCTAAAGGAAGCGTTGGCCAAGCTCGAGCATTTTAGGCTTGGTTTGGACATGAAATGGCTAGTACCAAGTATTTCGCATCGTCGTCTCCACGTGTATGCACATTTGCCAAACAAAAAATAAAGCGGGACACACTTTATTTCGCGCAGAGACGAGCACACGCTCTCACTGTTCTTGTACTTCACACGCTCGCAGCTCATTATTGCTCTTCCCATAACGAAAACAAACAAAAAACACGTCGACCACCAGCCGCCCCTTTGCTTGTGTCGTGTTGGAAGCAAGCGCATGGCCCGGTGCCTGGGTCGACAAGCGAAGAAAACACGGCAACTTTCTCACGCCTGTGCGCTGTGTTCACCATGATCAACAGCGCAGTTGTGACGCTAACAGCACTTTTAGCAGCACAATGGGTGCTCGCCGACTCCGATCTCCAGAAATTGCTCATTACTGTTGCAAAGCACGATCGAGTAATTGTGATATTCAGTTAGTACTATCCCGATTCTATCGATCGAATACTGACGTGGTGTGCTGATTCGCAAGTTTTGCGAATTGTGTTTCTGCGACTTCTTTTCAGCCCAAGAATGCTGTACCTGCGCGGAGTGCGTCGAAGTGGAACAGATTCTAAACGCAAAACAGGAGGAGCTGAGCGATTACTACGGAGTCGGTGTGGTGAAAGTGGTTAGCAAGCCGATGGTTGAAGAACATTACGGGATCACGTCACGGCCGGCGATCCTCTTCTTTCGGCAGTCGGTTCCGGCTCTCTTCGAAGGTTTGGCTTTTATTGCTCGTCTTTCTAATGCAGCTGGATGGGACAGCAAACACATTCTCAATTTTCACAGGTCATCACGATCCTGACAGCATAATGGAATGGATTGGCCAGAGCTTGGACCCGGCAGTTAAAGCCTTGGATGACGAATCATTCGAACATCTTACGCAAGCTGCGACAGGGGCAACTACGGGCAACTGGCTTGTGGTGTTGTGAGTTATGGTCACTAGCCTACACCAATTTATACAAAAGTTGCCGACACCGTTTCTTTTCTGTTCTGCTTGGCAGCCACACGGATAAATGTGTGAAACCAGATGCGGCAACAGGCGTGCTGGAGGGCCTGTCGTCCAGGTAAGTCGCTTCGAGCCAGCATGTATCACAACCATTGCACTCAATCCTTTTCGAATATTTAGGGTTAAAGGGACCACAAATGTTGCCAAAGTCGATATTGATCGTTCTCCAGGCTTGGCAGAAAGGTTTGCAATCAAGGAGTGCCCCACGGTCTTTTTGTAAGTGCAGAGAGGCATTTGAAGTGCATGGTCAGTGTTGTGTGATACTCATGACTTAGTTGTTCATTTGCAGCTTCCGACTGGGCAAAATGTACAAGTACAACCTCAAGAAGCTGGAAATTAAATCTCTGAGGAATTTTGTGGACGGCCTGTACAAAAACATGAAGGCCCATCCAGTGCCAGTGCCCCAAACTCCATTGTAAGATAGCTTTACTGATGAACGTTACTGAAAAACTTTCTGGTTGATGACAGATTGTGTTCTTGGAAAGACGAAGCTGCATCAATAGCAGCCAGGAATGAATTCTGGACATGGCGTTGGTCACGGTCTGTGAACATTCAAGTGAGGCATTGCACCATCACACAGGCGCATTGGAAGAAATTTTTCTTAGGGAACCTTCTTGAAATGGTAATTTTCTGCCCCGGTGTTCAACCCCATGGCTACGCCACTGCACAAGAGTGCAGGTATCCCAGAAACTAGATAACTGTGGATACATTGTGCATATTGTACTGGAACTGCAGTCACCACGTTAGGTCTTACGATTCTTGACATACTTAGTGCATGTTTCCCCATCACCAGGAACATAAACAGAAATTTCATTTTTCATACCCATTACACTGAAGTCTGTTTTAGAAGCTACAAAGGGAATTTTCAGTCTAGTCCAAAATATGTTTCATATGAAAGAGATGAAAATTTGCGAGCTCCGTGAGGCATGACTTGCTTTTCACACAAAATGGAGCTTTCTCGTGGCCTCAACTAATAATCCAAGAACACAAGATGGCTGCCACTCCAGACTGTTCTATATTGATTGTATCTTTATATGCTGTTATCAACTCTGCATTTCCTCTCATTTCAGTGACAAGATGGTTGAAAGAATTGCAGACTTCTTGAAGGTGAGTTTGGCAGAATTCCACCTTGGCAAGAACGAAAGAAACACGGGATTGTGAACAAGACTCCCGTGTGGGAATGGAAACGTTTCTTCTATATATTTTAACTTTGGTTGACACTGCGTCATTACTAATGTCACATTTGTTGATTTATATCAGGTGCCTAAGTGTTTAATATCTGCAGTCTCAGTCACTGAAGGTGCTGCATTCTACCTAAGGATTAAATAATACTGTCAAATGTGGTAAAGAAGGCAGAATATTCAAACCTTCACCAGCTCAAAGTTGATAATGGTTGTAAGTTTGTTAGTTCTGCATTGAGATGAGTGGGGTAGTGTTGCACATCAAACAGGACAAAGGAAAGGACACAATGGCACTCACAGTTATTGAAATAACCCGGCAGATTTGGCTTGCTTGTTCAGAGCTGCTCTCTTGTTAAGATGCAGCTTGCACCAAATCGCTCAAGGCTGGGTCACAGCTGAGCTGCATGATTTCATAACTCACAACATAAGGGCATGTGTCATCACGAGCTCCAAGATTGCGCATGGCTTCCACTAGCCATTAATTTTACAACTAAGCACCATTCTCTCACACATGGAAAATTCCAAATGAGCAAACATTAAGTATTAACAATGATGGCAAGTTGAAGTCGTGTGCAATATTTCGAGCTTGCTAGGGCATGTGCTCCTCCATCACAAGTGAGTCTGTAAGAAAAAGCTGTTGCCAGTTTACTGGTGTCCCTTGCCAGTGACTAAGATGTTGGGAGCTTTGGGCAGCTGACCACACTTTACACATGAAAGGCAAAGACGCTATCGCCTCTTCTTTTTCCACTGATGTGGTAAACAAGGGTGCACTCTCTTCGGATTTAGAGTTCCTACTCTGCCTCACAGACATGAACATATAAAAACATCTGTAATTTTGAGTGCTAAAAATCTTTGAGAGATTTTTAGGACTTTCTGCCCTAACTTCTGATCCAAAACGGCATTAATTGCACCCTAATCTGACACCCTCATCATCTCAGTGTTGACACCAGTGTTTTCATGAGTCTATACATTCGGCACTGTATCACTCTGGAAGGCAGCTTCGCCGCAATGTGAGAACATGAAGGGTTGAAGCATACAAAAAAATCTGAAAGGGCCACTAAGACGTTGACTGTATTTGTTTTCAGGAGGTATAAATAGAAATTTTAAAAATTCTGATGCAAATCAAATAGCAAGCACTATTTTAAAGATACTCTAAAAGTAACCAAAATTTGTGAATATGTATCACCCCATGAAAGCACATGCTTCACCATGTGGGCTACCACTATAGACAACAAATGCTACCCCAAGACCATTTGAAGAATTTGTGAGAAGATTGCTCTTCAAACGACAATGTGATACGGCCAGCAGCCAAACGCACTAGTTAGGTAATGTCAGCCTGAGTAAATGCGTTACCATGGTAAGCGTCCACTCTACTTGTGCCCCATCTGGAAGGCGTTTTCCACTCATTCTGACTCCACTGTCGGCATCCAAGAGTGCACATGATACTAAATAAAGGTATTGAAGAGTTGGATGGAATACCGTCTGGTCAAGTAAAGGCATTGTTGAAAAACAGGAGTTGGATGGAATACCGTCTGGTCAAGTAAAGGCATTGTTGAAAAACAGGTCACTGACCAATGTCAAACAAAACAAATGATGTTTCGGGATCCGTACGGATCTATTGTTCACAATCGAATGACGGCTAAGCAACAGGTTCTTATGTACATTGAGTGCATGAGGCAAAGTCGGGGAATACACGTGGCTTAGTGTGCCAGATGATCTACTGATTGTGTTACTTGTTTCTGAATTATTAGTGATTCGAGGTTCAGTGTCGTAAAATTCTTCTTTGTGGCCACGATGCGTCCTCGCTTAAACTGGGCCCGTCTTCTCGGCATGCTCTGCGAGTGCATTTGTCACTGTATGGCCCCTGGCGACGTCATTCTTGTGCTGTCTGAGACGTCTGCGGTAATTTCCACTTGTGCCAATGTGCACCGATTTGCAATCGGTGCATGGTATCTTGTAGACCACACCAGCAAAGTGTTGCCGAGGGAGAGGATTTTTCACATTTTTTAGCAAGACAGCCTTAAAGGACCCTTGAACCACTTCCAATATATTGTTACGTTTGAAAGAGACTGGTAGACGTTGAAAGGGGCCGTTTGTTAGGTCGCGAAGGGCAGCTCAGAAGCGGCCGACTGGGTAACGATCCTCCTGATCCTCTTCTTCTTCTCTCGCTCTGGGCGACAAGTGCGTTCACCGTATACGCTTCTTTTTCTTCGTGCATATACGCAACATTCCTCTCCGCGCAGACGAAGGCCGCCGGACGAGTCAGTCGAGTTGTCGTGGCGTGTACAGTTTCAGGCGGGCAACATGAACCACTTGAGTTTTGGCAGCTCGTCGACCACTCGCCGTGAGACGAGCTATTACATAGTTGACCTCTGTAAGTCTTTCGACAATCACAAAAGGTCCATCGTAAGTGGCCAAAAACTTTTGGCATAACCCGCGCTTGCGCATCGGAGTCCACAACCACACCAGATCACCACGGCGATAAATCACTGGTCGATGGTGAATGTCATAGCGTGCCTTCGCCTTGTCTTGCGATGCCAATGTGCGCAGTAGAGCTATGCGACGCGCCTCTTCGGCGAGGCAGAGAGTCTCGGCGACAGTGACGTTGTCGTGGTCACAGAAAGGCAATATCGTGTCGATTGTGTACCGGGGCGAACGGGCATAAAGCAAAAAGAAAGGGCTATAGCCTGTAATCTCATGCTTCGCGGTGTTGAACGCGTAAGTAATGAAAGGGAGTACGTCATCCCAGTTCTTGTGGTCGCAGGAAACATACATAGACAACATGTTGATAATGGTGCGGTTGGTACGCTCCGTCAGCCCATTAGTTTGGGGGTGGTATGGTGTCGAGTGACGCAGGCGGGATTCACATAAACGGAGTAGCTCCTCCACGACATCCGCTGTGAATTGTCGTCCACGATCACTGATAATCAGGCGAGGTGGGCCATGTCGGAGGATGACGTACTGTAACAAAAACGACGAGACTTCACTGGCAGTTGCGGAGGGAACGGCCGCCGTCTCGCAGTAGCGTGTGTGGTAGTCGACGCAAACAATTATCCATCGGTTGCCCTTAGCCGATTTTGGGAAGGGGCCCAGAAAGTCAATGCCCACTTGTTCAAAAGGTGCGCCTGGAGTAGGCATCGGCTGTAGAAGACTAGCTGGACCAGTTGATGGACGTTTGTGACGCTGACATTGCATGCAGCTTGCCACATAGCTCTCAACAGACTTCTGCATACCAGGCCAATAAAAGCGCTCTTTAGTCCGGTGAAGCGTCCGCGCCAAACCTAAATGTCCAGATGTAGGGTCGTCGTGCATGACACTCATAATAACTGTTCGCAGGCTCTCCGGGACCACTAGAAGGAAACGCGCGCCACTACTGGAGAGGTTCCTTTTGAACAACAGTCCATCACGCATACAGAAACGGCGGGCACTAGTAGAAGCGGATGCAGCGGCGAATAGTGGTGCCAGTTTAGCATCCTTCCGCTGTTCTGCTCTGAAACTGGGATAGTCCGGGAACGTAGGCGACACAGACGCTACAAGCTGGTCAAGGTCATCGGATTCACAGTCTGTTGTACTAAGTGGCATACGTGAAAGACAGTCCGCGTCAGCATGTCGACGACCACTCTTGTAAGTGACGGTAAAACTGTATTCTTGTAGCCGGAGTGCCCATCGCGCAAGGCGACCACAAGGGTCACGAAGGTTGACAAGCCAACACAACGAGTGGTGGTCGGTTACAACTGTGAATGGGCGTCCGTACAGGTAAGATCTAAACCGCTGAATTGCAAATAATACCGCCAGGCATTCTTGTTCCGTAACAGTGTAGTTTTGTTCCGGCCTGCTTAGGGAGCGACTTGCGTATGCGATGACGTGTTCGCGGTCGCCGTAACGTTGTACTAGGACGGCGCCAATACCTATGCCGCTAGCATCCGTATGAAGCTCTGTCGGAGCAGAAGGACTGAAGTGCTGAAGGACGGGTCGTGACGTCAGCAAAAACTTCAATTGACGGAATGAAGAATCGCACTCCGGAGTCCACTCAAAGGAATTGTCCTTTCGTAAGAGGCATGTGAGAGGATACGCCACGTCGGCAAACTTCGGAATAAAGCGGCGGAAGTACGAACAATGCCCCAGGAAACTACGAAGCTCCTTGACGGAACGCGGCGCATTGAACGCCTCAACTGCTGCTGTCTTCTGGGGGTCAGGGCGGATGCCATCCTTGTCAACGAGATGCCCGAGCACAAGCGTTTGGCGGTCTCCGAAGTGGCATTTCTTCGAGTTTAAAATTAGGCCAGCGTTTCGGATGCAGTTCAAAACAGTATCCAGACGATAGTTGTGTTCACTGAACGTGCGGCCAAAGATGACGACGTCGTCGAGGTAGCACATGCAAATGTTCCACTTCAAGCCACGCAGAATGGTGTCCATAAACCTCTCGAAGGTTGCCGGTGCATCGCACAGTCCAAATGGCATTACGTTGAATTCATAGAGCCCATCAGGGGTTACAAAGGCAGTCTTTTCCTTGTCCTCTGGGTGCATCGGAATTTGCCAATAACCGGATCGTAAGTCTACGGAGGAAAAATAAGAGGCCGAATGTAAGCAGTCTATTGCGTCCTCTATACGGGGCAGCGGGTATACGTCCTTTTTAGTCACGGCATTCAGTCGGCGATAGTCGACGCAAAATCTCCAAGATCCATCCTTCTTCTTAACAAGGATTACCGGTGCTGCCCACGGACTGGCTGACTCTTGTACTACTCCCTTTTGCATCATTTCCTGCACTTGGTCGTTGATAATTTGTCTTTCTGACGGGGAAACACGATACGGTTTTTGGCGAATCGGACTTGCCGCGCCAGTGTTGATGGTATGGCGCGTTCGAGACAGGGGGATAGGGATTACTTTGCCCTTCTGCGCAAAGTCAAATACCGAAACGTGCTTCAACAGCACATTCATTAAAGTTCGGCGCTCGCTTGAGCTAAGCGACTTATTTATCGTTGCCATAAGCGCCCCGTCTAAATTGTGACAACCAGTTCCGTCACGTTCTTCCGGCACGTCTGTGAGCTCGACCACTGATAAGGTCGCGTGTTCTTTGCTAACCGAAGCTAATTTTAAACCATTGGGTAGGTTCACGGGCTCAGAGGAACAGTTTACAGTCCATAGGCCAGTTCTTCCGCCATCAATCGACACCACACAATGGGGAACCAACACATTCTTCTTCACGCAGTTTATGTGCATTGGTTCTACGCTCGCATCGAAGCTGTCAGAATCAGCGCCGCGACAAACAACAGGAACACGTACGGTAGACAACGCAGGTATGAACGTATCGCCACAGACACACAGCGTAGTTTGGTCATTCGCTGGAGTTTCCAGAAGTTCTGAAGGCATTTGGCCACTCACAAAGACTTTCCCCGTGCGACAGTCTACAGTGGCACCACATTCTCGCAAGAAGTCCATGCCGAGAATGACATCATGTGTCGACTGAGGAATAATCGCAAACTCTGTCGTTATCATAAGGCCTCCCAAAAATACCTCAGCACTACACACACCAATAGGGCGCAATGGCTCTCCACTCACTCCACAGAACGTCGAAGTATCATCCCAGGTAAAAACAACTTTCCGCCCTAACACGTCTTTAAAAGAACCACTCATCACGGAAATCGTTGCACCTGTGTCCACCAATGCCATCACAGGCACATGATCCACCAAAACACGCACTTTGTTTTTAAACATACACACAGGAGGTATTTCTCTTAGTAGCGCGTTTCCAGCGACCTCACCCCCATTGGCCGCGCTGGCTAGTTTTCCGGTGGCGAAGAGGGCGCTTTGCGACGCAGCGGTGAAGGAGAACGATGAGCACGAGGTCGCGGTGGGGGCGTTAAACTCCTGTCAGATGCCGGGGAGTAGTTGCGGAAGTTGCTGGGCCAATAGTTGTCATCAGGTGGTATGTGGGCCGGCCGCCGGACACCATGAGGCTGTTCGAAGGGTCGTGAAAAATCGCATGGTTGGTGATACCGAGGAGTCACCCGACGGTTGCAAAATCGCGATATGTGGCCTGGCACACCGCAGGAATAGCACACCGGCCGAGGTCGAAACGTCGGTCGCTCGTCGATGAATAGAGCGTCATCATTTGCTCTTGTGTGACGGATGTACTGGTTGGGTGCGTCGTACCGAGACATCGGGCGTCGAGGAGGCATGCGCTGAGAGCGTCGGTCATACCGCGACGCGGGAAATCTGGTTGTCATTCTTGACTGTGGGGCTGGGCTGTACTCCACAGTTGCCGCGCTCATCGTCGGTTGCCATTGGGTCAAAGGAGGCACATCCATAGCCTCACGTGGCAGACACAACTCGTGATGGTCAGCTGTCGAACACGACATTTCTCGGTGCGACAGTTCCTCACGAACAATCTGTCGAATGGTAGAGAAAAGGTCGAGGCCAGGATTCGTGTCCACACTGGCAACAGTTGTAACGTTAGCTAGCCGACCAAACTTGGGCGCAATTCGACGCATCTTGAGCGTTTCAAACGTTCGGCAATGCTGAATGACGTCGGACACAGAACTGAGGCTTTCTTTTCCAATTAGAAAATTATACACGTCCTCAGCAATCCCCTTCAGCAGATGCCCAACTTTGTCCTCTTCCGACATGGTAGCACAGACCACCTTGCACAGCCTTAACACTTCTTCTATGTAAGTGGTGCATGTCTCACCTGGTAGCTGTGCCCGTTGCGACAGTGTTTGCTCAGCCCGCTTCTTTCTAGCAACCGAGTCGCCGAAACACACCCTGAGCTCTTCAACAAAAAGATCCCACGTCGTGAGTGCGTCCTCGTGGTTCTCGTACCATAGCAGTGCGGTGTCGGTCAGGGAGAACACTACGTTGGCTAGCATAGCGGCTGCATCCCAGCCGTTGGACTTGCCCACACGTTTGTACTTGGTGAGCCAGGCGTCGACATCTTCTTCGGCTTTTCCTCCGAAGGGCTGTGGAACTCGGTAGTATGGAAGCGGGCCAGATGGTGCCGTCCTGGAAACGCCTGCTTCTTCGGGCATGTCGAAGTCACTCACGGCAGATGGTGGGAGACCGGCAAGTCGACGGCTTCGTCGAAGCTGTGGCAGTGATCGTTCCGTAGTTGAAGCGCTTACCCAGCATCTCCACCACTCTGTTACGTTTGAAAGAGACTGGTAGACGTTGAAAGGGGCCGTTTATTAGGTCGCGAAGGGCAGCTCAGAAACGGCCGACTGGGTAACGATCCTCCTGATCCTCTTCTTCTTCTCTCGCTCTGGGCGACAAGTGCGTTCACCGTATACGCTTCTTTTTCTTCGTGCATATACGCAACAATATTTTCAAACAATTCAAGTAAACACGTGCATTGTATGCATAATGCCATCGCGATCAACGATTCTACACGCCGCAGCGCTACGAGCCGCCGACGCGCCACAAATTTTGAGAAATGATTCTTCTTCCTTTTCAGGCTTTTGGGTACTCCGCGTGACGAGTCGTGCCATTTACGCTGATTGTTCGAGCAAGCGCCTACGACTTCCGATCAGTCTGCCAGCATCTGTACGAGCTGCTGGTTGTTCTGTCCCGCGTGCGTGTGCCCGCTCACAAGTCAGCTACTGCGGCTGGCATGTCCATTGCGTTGGCGATCCTTTGAAGGCGTGCGCGCAACACAGAGTCTATAGCGGCGCGATTACTTCAACCACGGTTCATCAACAAGCACGCAGCTACAATGCAACTGATGGAGTTGGTGTCTGGAGTAGTGGCAACCGGAAGTAGACGGTGTTTCAAGCAGCGAATAAGCGATGACGTATGCCATGCAAGATTGGGGGAGGCACTTGGCAAGAGGGTAACAGAGGAGGGAAGCGCGGGAGAGAGCGAAATGAGTGATTGATGTGGTTTCGATACTTAATCGCGTGGAACTCCGCTATTACTGCACCGTTTCAAAAAATTCTCACAGCTCTGTGTTTGTCATACACTTGTGCACAATTCCCCACCACAACCAAATTTCAACCTCTGGGCGGTTTACGGGCCCTTTAAGCTTGCTTGCTGAGACTTGTGTGATCTGTACACCACATATTCTGGATGGATGGGCTAGGGCTTTGCTTACATGTCGAATGGAAGGAATCGATGCACGTTTTTGCGTAGACTATGTGTTATGCCCCTTTTGACTGCTGCTTATGCATGACGGATTTGGTTGTTTTCAAATGAAATTCTGGGGGTATTCATTCCTTATAAGGTCATCTTCAATGGTCTGGCGCTCCTGCACGCTTCTTTCATTTGAACAGGTGTGAATCGCTCGCTGAACTAAAGACCGAATCACTGAGCGTTTATGGGCTATTGGATGGATTGACTCATAGTCGTATCTACTGGAGTGCGTTGGCTTTCGGTACACAGCGAAGGTGAAGCCTGTGGGAGTACATTTTACAACTGCATCCAAGAAAGGGAGGCAACTGTCTTTCTCTTCTTTCACAGTAAACTTGATGGAAGTCCCAACGCCATTTAGGCGGTCAAGGAAGGATTGGACGTCTTTCTTTTTTATCACGCACAAGCAGTCGTTAACGTACCTCAGAAAAACCTTGGGTCTCAGCTGCCTTCTGTTTAATAGTTCTATTGTGATATTCTCAGTTGTGACCAAAATTGATGCTGCCATTGCGGTACCGAAAACTTGCCTATAGAAGACTGAACCTCGAATCACTAATCAGACGACAAGTACTAGCACAATCAATAAATCATCCGGCACTCTGAACCAAGCATATTGCCGGACTTCGCATCATGCGCTCTTTGCTACATAAAAACCTGTTGCTCAGTCGTCATTCCATAGGGAACAAGGGATCTGTACAAATCCCAAAACGTTATTTGTTTTGTTTGACATTGACCTGTTTTTCAACAAAAAAATAAAGGTATGAAAAAGAATACATGGCAAGCTCCACACGAGTAGCATTCCAAATTGTACAGAGGCATCGTAATCGAAGCCAACTTAGTCGTCCTTACTGCTAACTTCTGCAAGCCTAGACAACACAAGTTCTGTTGACACCGCATTTTATTCTTTTACAGGAACACAGAAGAACTGTGATGCTGGGTATTGTGGCATTGTTCTCTGTCACATACACAATATACAAGGTTTTCTTATTTCAAAACACTCTGAAAGTTGTGAAGAAGAAAGAGTGATCTTTGAACCTGCCCCTCGTGCCTTAGCAGTGGTTGTTAGAATAAACAATTTTTTACATAGTTGTCCAAATGTGATCTTTGCTTTATAGCTCTATTTCTACTGCAAACTGCCTATGTGTTCTCAAAGAAGTCAACTCACACACTTTGCATTATTAATAATTTTTTGTTTTCCAATTTTGGCATGTTTGTGTACTTAAATCTAGGTACACTCTTTTTTTTATTATTTCAACACCATCTCAAATGGGGCCAGGATTGGACCCTCCAGCTCTAGCTCAACAGCAATGGTGGGTAACCCTTAATCTTGAATAGTGCAAGTTAAACTATGAAAAAAGAAATAACTGTGAGCAGCATTTTCTAAAAGCACCATCGGATCAGCACAATTGATGCATTAAGTACAGCACACAGGACATTACACTACATCAAGAGTAAATATAAATGCAAGAAAGTGCAACAATACTTTAGTAAAAGTTTGTTCATTAATGCTGCAACCAACAATGCTTGTTGAAGCATGACAGCACTGCAATTAAATGCTTTTGAAGCTCAAATATTCCATCAAAAAAATTGATGCTTGGTTAAAAACTAAAATACTTCAATGAGACGGGGGAACTCTGTACTACAGATACTAGGGTTGCTGGATCAGTCTGCAACATGGGCAACGTAATGCAATTTGCCAATAATGTGATATGGAAGATCCACACAAAGAAGAGGCAACACTGCTGGCATGCAATCCGGCACAGTTGCCACCACTGGCGCAACAAAGCCGCCCACATTACTGTAGTACCAGACACTGTTTTTTTTCTTTTTTTTGTGTACTTCAAGTCACAAGAACAACACCACCTTTTTAAAGCAAGCTGGTACGAGCAGGCGCACTGTACAGGTGTGTGGAGGCTGGACGTCAGCATCGTGAGATGTTCAGCGATTCGTGTCCCACATCACTGCCGAAATGCCTGTTGAGCTCCGTGCCCCAAGCTGCCGAGCTGGGCATTGTCTCTGGTGCCGGAGCACGTGGCTGTGGCTGCGAAGGGCATGCGCAACAGCTGCCTGTCTCGAGTAGGAACGTCACCGGGTCCCTGGCCATGGGCAGAGGCGGCAAACCCTTGACGCTTGGACAGCACTACGTACCTTTGCCGCCTCTCGCCCCAAGTGAGACACTTTGGTGGCAACGGCGGAGGCACTGCACTGGCCTGACTAGACTCCACCTCATAAACGTACTCCTCTTCGTCGGGAATGGAGGGGGCCGACGTGGCATCTGAGAGCTGGCTACCGTCGCTGCCGGTGTCGGCAAAGTCTCGCGACGTCCACGTTTCCTCGCCCTCTTCCTCTTCGTCATTGTGGTGCGAGACGTGCAAGGAACCAGACGACGCAGTTATACTGAGGTTTGGCATGGAGTGTGCATGCACCGGGGCCAGCACCTTCACACTGGCCGCGGGCACCCAGGAAGGCTCAGTGGTGGGTGCAAGCTGACTCGTCTCCAATGTCACAACAGTTGGCGTGGCGGTCTCTGTGGCATTGTTGCTGCTGTCTTCAATGGACGTCTGCTTTCGGAGGCTTCTCGCAAATTACGCGAACTGTGTGTCCCAGTTCAGAGATTATGGTGTTCTCTTCTGGCCACTCTAAGGCTGATGCCTTTCTACCACGGAGGAAATGCGAGGCTTCCACCATTGCGAATGTTCTCGTGCCGCAATAGACTTAGCCTCCTTGATATGCAGAGAGGAATGTTGGACAAAGATTTGAATGGGCTGGGCTGCCTTTTACGCCGACTGCGAGCGGGCAACGTGTGGAAAACCAGGCCACCCTTGTGAAGAAAACAAGGCACCTCAACAATGAATGAGCTGCTCTCCATAGCGCCGTGCTTTCCGTCATGCGCCGCAGTCTCTGCCCGGCAGTGTACCTCTGGGAAGTCACCGCCAATGGTGACCACAACGTGCCTCTCGGCCGAGGGAGTGCTTGTCTTGGAGGAGCAGCCTTCGCCCTGGAGTGCACCTTCTGCCACGCTGCAGTGGCTGGCTCCGGGTGGTGAGCTTTCCGCACCGAGGCATGCCACGTCCTCCAGAGATGGCGGCTGTGAGTAGGGTGGTGGCGGACCCCACAGATATGCAGGGATCTCTGTGTAGCTGCACGGTGGGTCAGGGAAAGACTGAGGGCCATATCGGGGGTTCATCTGAAGATGGTGAAACACACCGTCGTTGGAACGTGTGCGTCGGTGCGCTGCACGTGCCACCGCTGTCACTGCACTGCGTGAAGACACGCCACGGGCCTCGCCACTGCGTGAACCGTTGCCATGGGTGCACCCGTTCCGCCATGGGCTCAGCGAACTACCAGGAGGGTTGATGAGCTCGGCAGGTGAGCTGCAACGCCAGCCATCTCGCACGAGCAGCCGTTCGGCAGTATTGCAGCTAGGCCGTGGCAAAGAGGAACGAGTGCTGCGGCGTGTCCATGGCAGCCACCAGAGTGGCGGTCGGCGACGGCGGAGGACAGCTGTGCGGCTCTGCGAGTGGCCAGCTACGCCAACAAGCTCTTCTGTGCTGGGACGGTCGTGTGAATTCTGTTGGTGGGGTGCCAGCAGATGATAGTCAAGCACATCCCAAAGAGGCCACGGGTGGCACATGTCCCCGTAGCAGGCACACAGGCCATGGTTGGGATGACGACGGTACAGAAGCCTCCGACGCAGTTCCAGCTGCACAAGGGGGCATAGCAGAGGTTAGCCAAAACAGGATAAATTTAGAAGCATATTTCTCGTACTAGGAGGTCCAGGTAGAAAGAACAACCTTATAGACTGCTCATAACTTGGCTTCACTGTTTGTTTTCGATATACTGTACGTATTCATGTGAAGAACACACGGTGCATTTATTATGCGAGGTCAATTTGACGAAAACGAACTATTCTCATCATTACTTTAGTCTCACAATTGTTTGCTGACTGTCATAGCTGCACCTTGGATGGCTATTGGCTATTGGGCTCCTTCCCCCTGTAACACTACAGAACACTGTGGGCAATGACAAATAGATGAAAAGAAACTGAATGAGCACCTGTTCGAGGTAGACCTTCTTGCGCTCATGGCTAAGCAGCTGGTAGACAAGCATGGAGGAGAAGATGCACACCAAGATGCCAACCACTGACAGGCCGAAAAGCGCACGAAGACAGCCATAGAGGCTGCCATGAACCACCTCGCAGCTAGGCGTGTCGTTAAACACAAACTGGTGCTCCCCTGCACAGAGATTGTAAAAGTCAGCAGATAGCTTCTATCTTTGAGGAAAGGCTCACGAGGACACCACTGAACGGGACAAGTAAAATTATTTCTTTAGAAACGAACAATATCAAGTTCTAATAATATCTCGGGTTTTATGACCCAGATATATTTTATTTTCCGATAATTTTCTTGGAAAATAAAAACCTTTCTGATTCTAAAACCATGATATGGAGGCACCATAGTGGAGAGCTCCAAAAATCTCAACCATCTGGTGTTCTTCAAAGGGTACTAACATTACACAGAACACGGGCCACTACCATTTCACCTTTATCGAAATGCGATTGCCATGGCGAGGGTTGCACCCTCGACCTGCAGGTCAGCAGCCGTGCACCTTAGCCAGAAACCCACTATGACACACTTGACTTAAATTGTAATGTTTCATGTGCCTAAAGCACTAGAGATTACAAGGTATGTCATAACAGGGAAATCCTTTACAATTTTGAACACTTGCATTTCCTTATTGTGCACTTAAACGAGTTTGTTTACAGATTCCAGCTCATGATGCATCCTCTAAAATGGAACTCACAATTTTAAGCTCCGTAGTGCAAGATTTAGAGATTTGAGGCGAGTAATGCATAAATAATTACAGTGGAGCCGCTGTGAGCATAAAACATTTGTTATACCAAAAACAATGACATAGACTATGCTGTTTTTGATGCCTAATTTATCAGCCCACTAAAACGAGTCACTGGGCTAGTTAGTGCATAGCTCTATCGGCACCTTCCATGCAATGTTGACACTTATTCCATGAGATGCTTCATGGACTGTTGTAGAAAGGGACAAACATATGGTGTTACCACTAGTGTCTGAACACGTCTACTATGGACCTAGAATTAGAAGCATGTTTGATTGAAAAATCACACCAATTATTAATGAGGCAGGCTACAGTGCTGCTGGACAAGAAATCTCAGATAGCTGCGCTGGCTGATATGTACCAATAGCTGAGGAAAACACAATATGCAAAATTTAAAAGCCCTATCAAAACCGTAGGGATGCTATCAACCCCAGTAGTTTTCACCTCATGACCCATATGCATTCAGCGGATCAGTCGCGATTGGCGTGCTTAGCTTCATCACCAAGTGAGAGGTAATGCTGCCCTGAGGGAGGAAGGCTAACCTTGTGCACGAGCCTTCAATGGTCTTCGGAGTTTGGCAGCATTTGCAAACGTAGTCTCTTGGTGTAGCTATTTGTTCTCAAAAAATATTTTTTGATCGGGACATGTAGATATAAATAAACTTGGGGAGATGCAGGGGTGCTAGCCGACCCTATAGGGTCATTTTCGCCTCATGGCACATCCAGCATATCAGTCGTAGTTGGTGCGGTTAGTTTCGTTGCTGAGGAACAGGTGCGCTGTGCTCGCACATCGCCAATAGAGCTGCCTGAAGGGAGCCAGGTCACGCGTGGCTGAGCACTCAGTGTTAGGAGCTTAGTAGCGTTCAGCGACAGGTGCCTCCCATGGCTCAATTTTGCAGACTCGTGTGGCGAGTCAAACGTTGATGACACTGCATTCCTGGTACATTGGACATGTCATGTTGTTTTGTGTGTGTTATGTTCTCTGTGTGTAGCATTGGTATTCTGTATCTGGTTATTTAGCACATGACCAGTGTTCGTTTTCTCAACGGTGTGAGTTGTGCCCATTTGTTCCATGAGTGCGGCTCATCTTCAGACCCCAGAATGTGGAGAAATAAAAACAAGGTGCCTACAGCACACTCATCAATATAAAAAAAAAAGAAATGCTTCAAGGTCATGAAACATATTAATAAAGGAAAGTTACTTCCTTACTTAGAGTCCATTTTTTAGGGGTAAAGCTTCTTATGGTCTTGGGCAATCATTCGTCCCTCCGGCATACCCAGTAGTATCTGCATTATCATACAATAGATGGCACTGTCCCGTATAGATTCATGCAAACTGCAGTTGGGTGATGATATACTAGATGGCGCTGCACACATTCTGTGTCGTCACCACCATTTCTAATCTAGTTTCTTAGATGATGCTGTTGCATAGAGGTGCACAATATGGCAGTTGGGTCAATGGACACTAGATGGCGTTGGAGGTGCCGCTGCTTTCTGATTGGCTGTGCCGGGCGCCCATTATATCTCATTCGCCTGGATTGTTGCAACGAGAAATCGTATCCCGATACGGTGCACATCATGAAAGCCGCTGCGAAACGGGCTCAACGAGAACCTCGGAATGTAAGTAAGAGCAAGAAGCGGCAGCGAAGCGCATGTGGTGCTGGGCAGACTTGGATGCCGCTCCTCAAAGGATTCACAGTATCACCGACAGCTGCGCTTATTGCGCATTTTTTATACATTTCTGTTTTCTTGCGCCAAGCTACTCCAAAAGCATAAAAATTGCGAAAATTGGGTCGATCTGCTCTAGAATAGCCTTGAAAGCTAGAATTTTGATGCAACTTCAGCTTAAGTGGGGAAAAAAGGCTAAGTTGACCAATAATATGCAACCAAGCGTGTTTTTTTTTACTTTGCACTCTTCTGGTGATGAAGGCTCCCATGATGCCGCCATGGGAGCCTTCCGGCAGTTATTCTTAAAAATTGTTCTGGGATATTGTGTTTCTACTTTTCTGGTATATTTCAAAAATGTTTATTTGAGGCTTCATTACTGCATGATTGGAAGCTGGCACGTGTTGTACCGATTCATAAAGATGGATCGAGAAATGCCGTTGAGAACTACAGGTCGGTGTCCTGGACAAGTGCAACATGTAAACTAATGGAGCATGTAATTTATACTTCATGTCACATTTAGTAAAAAACAACTTTCTAAGCTCGAGTCAGCATGGTTTTCGACAGGGTTTTTCATGTGCTACCCAACTAGTTGAATTTTTCACGATGTGGCTTCAGCTATAGATAACACACAAATAATACACTGCATATTCCTCGATTTTAGAAAAGCATTTGATGTGGTTACGCACGATCTTCTCATCTCGAAACTACAATCATGCAAGTTAGATGATAGTGTTGTCGCATGGGTTGCCTAGTATCTTCGTGCAAGGTGGCAGTCTGTCTGTTTCTCTTCTGTACATGCTCCAGTAACATCAAGTGTTCTGCAGGAATCGATTCTGGGGGCACTTTTGCTTTTGCTTTTTATTAGCGATATTGTAAATGATGTCAAATTTTCATTTAGAATGTTTGTGGATAACCAAGTGATTATAGAGTTAGACATAAAGGGAGTGATATTACTTTACTGCAGGCTGATTTAGACACTATAGGATCATAGTGTGATAAATGAAAAATGTCCTTATATCTTTAAAAGTGTGTTCACGTCACCTTTTCAAGGAAGCGCACATTTCATTCTTGCACATATACGCAGAATAATATGACCTTAAAAAAAGCTGAAGAATATATATATCAAGGTTTTCTTATAACGTCTGATTTAAGGCTTCAGAATAGGCACATTCGCCACATTAAGAATAAAGCAATAAGTGCACTGTCTTTTCTTCGCCGTAATTTCAGCCAGTTACCTCAGAAATTGAAAGAGCAACTGCATTTCATGTACGTTCGCAGCATACTTGATTATGATTGTGTTTCTTAGGACCCGCATACATTTGACCCCATGGAGCAGCTTGAAAGGGTGCAAAATAAGGCGGTCCGGTTTGTACTCAACAGTTACAAAACAATAAGCATGACGGAAAGCAAACGTAAGTTATCATGACAGGTTTTTCAAGATCGGCGGAAAAACCTTGGACTGAAATTTTTTTATGCTGTACACCGTTCTAAAACCGGCATTGAGCGAGAAAACTACATTAAGTTACCCACTTTCATCTCACCGAGATGCGACCATGCAATGAAAGTTCCCGAATTCCCTTTCAAGGGTGATATGTTCAGGTATCCTTTTTTTCCACGAGCCATTAGAGAATGGAATGCCTTATCCCCCGATGTAAACATCTTGGATAACGATGTATTTTACCACGCTTTGTGAGTGTGATTGCTTTGTATATTTTTGTATGTAACCCCCCTTGCAGTAATGCTCAATGGGGCGATGCAGCTATGCAATAAATAAATAAATAAACATAATCTATGCAATAAATAAATAAATAAAAATATTCTCCCTTAAACTGTAGTAAATATGCATGACCCGGAAAAAATGTGCTGCCGTGCATCGAGCGCGCTGCTTCTAGTAGCTAGGCTGTGTGTTCTGGTGCCACTGGCGCCTAGCGATAACCAGCTAGTCAAGTGACAAGCGTAGCGGGGTTGACTCTCAGGTTCTCTGTTGTACATAGCCTGTTCCTCCGGTCGCTGCAGTTTTCACGTCGACGCCGCTGCGTGTGGTCACCTACGCGTGCGTATTTGGCGTGAGCAAGTAACTGTAAATGTGGAGTCATTTCCCTGCATGCGACATGTCTCCTGGATGCTCTGGCACATGCACAGAGGTTCTCAAAATGGGTTCCGTGGGTGACAAAACGCGTGAAACCCATTCCCGGTTTACGCCTATTAGCTACCAATTTATTTAGACAAGCGAGTTCTCGCTACATTTTGCATTTAAAAAGCCATCGCATGCGAAATCCACACATCTGTGTCTGCAGGTAGAGAGAAACACTTGGTTATTTGCGAAGCCATGGCAACAGAACGCGTGGTCAAACCATTTTAAACTATATTAATGGGCACTTTGGCGCTTTATTCGTGACTCATGTCGTGTCAGCGATCACATGGGCACAGATGATTGGCGATTTGCCACTGCTCCGTTTTGTAACCAAAACTCGAAACTCACAACAAGCACTTTAAGAGGCGTCGCTACGTGCCAGCACTGGGCTACACGAGCTTTTAGACTTAATTTACGTTCAATCGACGTTTTGATTAGCGACCAGTCCGCAGTGTGACTGCTATACTTTTTTTATTTTTTTCAATAAAACCAGCTTCTATACGTTCAGCGGTTCATGGACACAAACTTTTTAGCTGCGCTGCGCTAGTCGCAGAGCGGGGCAGGCGGCAATCGCAGGTCGATGT